CTAAGAGTCGGGCTGGTGGTGGTGGTGGTGGTGGGTATCGGTGATTTTTATCATAGGTGATCTTGACACTGGATTGGGGTCGGGGAGTATATTATTATTTTATTTTTTTTCTGTTTCTCAGACATTCTTGTATTGCTGCCCTTTCTGTGGAATTATGGATGAAAGGATGGATAGATAAATAGGTTGGTTTGAAGCGATAGGTACGGTATATCCATGCAACTCATATGTCTATTACTGCCTATATTTCCTTTTTATCTTTTCTTTTTGCTGTGTGTTTTATAAACTTGAGCTGGGGATCATCTCTTTTTCTTCTTTGGTTTTCCCCGCTTGTCGACGATATGGGATGAGATCGATCATGTTCATTATAGCTAGGCACCAGGGGAAATCGCTTTGATATCTGGTGATAAAGTAAGGGGGGGGGGCCAAGCTGATAGTGGAATCAGAGGAGGAGCTTGTTGCAGAATATAACATTCACATTCCAAGTATAATTCTTTCTTACGTTAAATGAGGCAGGATGGGGATTGTAGTGGTATGATACAACCAGCACATCCATGTTTCAACCGTCCGATTTCACCATGTCTGCGAATCTAGTCATAAAATCAACTAACCTGCGGAAGAGAAACCCATTCCCCTGAGCACCCGACGCGCATCACGCTACGTTCAAATAGGTATCATCAAGAAAAAATGATATAATAACTTAGATTTGAGAAATCCTGAGCCTTAGCATGCTGACGTTTTGTTTGTATATATATGTTACACGTGTTGAAAGGAAGCCGAAGAGAGATGATTCCGTATATAAAAAGAGCGCTACGAAGAGCGCTACGAATTTATCTCGGTATCACAAATCCTCTCCCCCTTTTCCCGCCTTTCTTGCTCCATTTTTAGCCTTGTATCCTAGAACTCGACGCGCTAGATTCCTTCGAATACTCTTTACCTTCCTTCGCCTGCTCAGAATCTTCTTCCCCGTGGGCGTCCCCTCCTCTCTCATGGTCAAACTGATGCCTCCCCTTCGCATCTTTATTCAAACTCTCATCCCTCATCGCTAAACTTACCAAAAACGCAAATCCAGAAAGTCCCGTAAGAACATACCAAATCGTCCTCAACGAATCCGCATACACATATCGATAAACCTCCTGCACATTCTCCGGAAACGTCTGGATGATGTCGAACGCAGCGTCCGCCTGGGATCCATGGACCAGCATGTTCTGGTTACTGTTGCCAGTAAACGCACCCGCCGCCACCGCCTGTGTCACGAGCCTGTCAAACTCGTTTTGAAAAATCACAGCGCCCAGCGCAACGCCGAAGGCCTGGCCGAGACTGCGCGCAAAGACTTGCACGGAGGTGGCGATGCCGACATCCTCGCCCTTCTGCACGGATTGTACGGCGACGGTTGTCGTGGGGAATAGGAGGCCGGCGCCTATTGGCATGATTATACGTACGCCATAGAGGATGCCGCCGTTCGAGTGAGGCTTGAGTAGGGCATTGAGGCCCGTGCCGATTGTCATGACTACCCAGCCGGTCCAGACTACCTTCTGGAAACGGAGGGTTTTTGTCATCACTATCCCTGCGATTATGGAGAAGGGGGCGACGAAGGCGCTGTTTTGTGATGGTTGTGGGTTAGTGGTTCTTTCATTTTCAATATTGTTCTGTATTTCTATTCCTATTGGAAGGGGGATGTTTCCCGTTTCTTGGGCTAGGATTATCAAGCCGTGGCAAATAACTTACGATCCCGGTAACGTTTCCACGGCTGACTGGAGGAGTCCGTGCTGGGTGACTCCGAGGAACTGTGAAGTGTAAGCTCCATATCCGATACGGTTTCTCTCAAGATCTATCATATGTCACCGAGAGATAGTAGAGTGTAGCAAACTCACAAAGATAATGATATAATAAGACAAAGACCATAGTACAAGCCCATGGAAAAAGACGCTAGAATAACCTCCCGCCGCCGCCGTGCGGCCATGGAACACCCGAAGTGGAATCATAGGCTCATGGGCATATTTGAGCTCGACATATATGAACAAAGCCCATCCAAAAACCCCCACAATTAGTGGTACAAGTACGCTAGCGGAGCCCCATGGGCGAAGTGTGCCCCCAGTTGTCAACCCGAGGAGGAACGAGGTGGTCGAGCCCACGAAGACGAAGATGCCGGGAAAGTCGATGCGGGTAATTTTCTCCCTCAGCGTGGTTTTTGCGGACTTGAGTCTGAGCGACATGGTGAGACCGACGATGGAAACGACGCAGATGGGCACGTTAATCCAAAATGCCCATCGCCACGTTGTGCGTTCTCCGATAGCGCCGCCGATAGGGACCTATATCCATTTTTCACGGTTGAGGGATTTGTTAGCCGGAGATCAGGTGTATGTTGTCTTCACCACGATTATGTGAATAAAATTTCAATTAGGATTCTAGCTTACTCCGGCTATTGTGCCCACGGCCCATGCTAGAGACACTAAGGACATGTACGAGCCTCTTTCTTGTAGTGTGGTTATGTCACTGATAATCACAGAGACCAGGCTAAGGTTCCCCCCAGCACCGAGACCTTTGACAGCTCGTGCAGCAACCAGCCATTGCATGTGCTTGGCTGTTGCGCAAAGGATGCTTCCAAATGTAAAGATGATGAGGGCGAAGTTTAGAGCCCATTTACGGCCGAAGATATCGCTAAAGCTCCCATATAGCGGGATGGTGACCTGGTCCGTCTGCATTAGCTTTTATTTTTCAAGCGGTAAACAGCTGAGCTCTTCCTGTGCAGTTTCCGAAGCCGATATGTGCTACTTAAGTTGAATGTTACGAACCGTCTGTGCCAACAAGAATCCCGTTCCGCACCAGAAAAGTTGTACTGTGGTGCCAGGTAAATCTCTAGCAACTGATGGTATAATGGCTGTTATGATCACGGAATCCAAGGACGTGATCACAGATATAAGGCAAAGCCAGAAAACGGAGAGATAGAACGCCGGTGATTTCTTTGATTTCTGAATCGAAATTTTCGATTCCTCTTCCGTTTTCTCGGCGGGCGGGATAGCCGTTACTGAATTTTGGGCAGCCATTACTGTTGCCGGGTTGAGGCCGCTGGTGTTGTGTTGCTGCTCTCACCTTCCCACCGCAGGGAGTAAGGGAGAGTTAATAAAGAAATATTTAACTGGAAAAAGAAGGAGAAGTGAATCAACGAGAAAATATTAAACAGGTATAGTTATATGTGAAGAATTTGTAAAAGGAAAAAGAGGGGGAGAGCTATCAGAAACATAACATATGCTGAATCTCTATGTTTCTGTTTCCACTTCCCTCCTCCCCGAAAGAAGGCTTGAATATTGAACGTATTCAAAAGGGTTGAAAGAGAAAAAAGGAAAGACGAGCGGGAGGGCCTTGTCAAAAAGCTTGCCTCATTTCTTCCAGGCCTCTTATTATGGTTAAGTATACCGTGCGACCGAGCACAAGCTAGCCCAGCCTTCCGCAATTCATCTTCCCAGAGGGCAGGGGCAGGGTAGTTTTCATATAAACATCGGAGTAGCTTGTTTGAAATACACAAGCACCTCCACCTGCCCCACTGTTTGCTTGACTTGCGATTCTTTTCTCTAGCTTCACACCGAAGATGATCAACGCCTGGTCAACGCTTTGATGGTATAGGTCCGCTCCGCTCTTATCTGCTTTTTATATGCAGCGTGGATAAGCACAAACTCTCCGTGAACCCTGTGCGAGGTCCGAAACACAGACGGAAGAGCACTGGGCTGATTGTTTTGGTGAATCTGGCGCCCGCCGTTATGCTTGGCTCTCTGCTGTCGCAGAAACAGGATACCTGGAGTTTGCTGTTATGTAACGTGCAACAATCGAACAAGTTGGCTGTAACTCAATAACCCACGTCTCGATCTGCAAACGGGGTTTTCAGAGGGAAAAAGCAGTACCCCTAGATACATCTTCTTTTCATTTTCCGTGACCGTTCTTAGTCAAATTCGGGGATGCATATCAAATTGGGCATGGCCCAGGGCGTATTAACGTGGTCTGGTTAGCGCGTACAGGGAGTAGGAAGACGAAGTCCGGCGTCTTTTGCCTCGAAGATTGAACAAAAATATTTAGCGCTCGTTAGGACATTTGTGCGCACCAAAGGCAAATCCACCCCTGCCGACGATTGATCTGACTATGGAAATACCAACTAGGTTAAGGGTAGAAGAAGTGCTGAAGTGCGACAAATACCAGGGTAGCACAGCTCTCGAGCCTCGATTGTCGGCATTCTGCAGGAGTTGGGAGGTTGTGGTGGTTCGCGCTTTGGCAGCGTAACTCTCGGAGCTGAGACTTCAAGACACTTGTCGTCTGTTTCAACCGACCGACCGGCTGGTGTTGACCGAAGAGGACAGTGTCCCGGCAGTGGAGTCAAAGACTGGAACCATCGCTCCAGCGCGGAGACGCGGGGGGGTCTGAACAAGAGGCCGGTTAAACCCTTGGACAGGGCGTCCAGCCTAATATGTGTCAACATACAGCATCATGCACCTCTCACAACTAGTCGCATTTAGGCTCGTGCTCCGTCAGTAAGTACGGGGGATACTTGCACCAATCATGCGCAATTTCCTATTTTTCTTTAGTCGAGGCTTCTGTCCACATAGTAAGGACAGGCGGTTGGTGTATATGTAGGCTACTGGGGCAAAAGAGCTCAGTCACCACCAGCGCACTGCTGGTAGAAGGGCCGATTAACCCGGGACCCCCAACAGTTTCTTGCTGTTTTTCGATATCATTTGTGGTCTGTTCTAACGTCGGTGAAACGTTGCATTCAAATCGGAGATCCTCAGAGTCGGAGCGAGATTTAAAAGAGGATGCGAAAAAGAAACTTTCTCAACCATGTTAAAAGTGGTCCACATTGGCATTGTTCTGGCCAGCTGGTTCGTTTCCTAGAGTTGCTTTTTCTAGGGCTAATCTTCTCGAAAGAACTGGGAGGTTTCTAGCTTGATGTTAGTTCATGAACCTCAGCGCATGGTTTTTCAACCACATTCTATAACTAGCCAAAAAAAAAAAAAAGAAAAAGAAAAAGAAAAGAAAAGAAAAAGCGTTGAATTCCCCCCCCCCCCCTCCTCCCCTACAACAGCTCAGAGCCGATGCAGAGCTATGCCTCCGATGGGTCTGCGGAGTCCGTAATCATTATGTCAGGCAACAGGAACAGGATCCGTCCTCGTACTAGTTCATTCAGAAGCAACAATGGATGGAATACGGGACCCAATTCTCGCTGGGAAGGAGACGCAAGTAACTATGTCGATGCTCTTGCCGCGCCTTATTCTTTACCAACGCTGAACAAGAGGAGGATATGATACTCAGGGTACAAAGTTCTTTTCAATACCCTTGGAAGAGTTTGATTAAACTCCAAAAAGATTCGGCATTTTATTTGCGGGTTTAAATAGTCAATTTGGAAAGTCAAAATTTACTAGATAATTGGACGATAATGCCGCATGACAGCTGCAACAATCACGGAACAGGAGGGATTATAGCCGAATCTGTCAGGGAGGACTCCGAGTTTGACATCGTCCTCCCGGCTCCGCCAGAATCTACCCCAAGTATCATTAATTCCCAGCGATTGATACTCCGTGAAGTCCGTGACTCAGATGCAGAGGGCCTATTTGCCATCCGCTCGAGAGAGGATGCTGTGAGGACACTGAGATGTGACTTGGCTTCCTGTCTTTTGTTCTATTTATTTTGTTCCGCCTTCTTCCTTCTTAAATGCTTCCGTTCCCCTTCATCCGGCAAAAGGCAATCTTCCGCCTGTTTAATATATGGCTGACGTCCTGTGTTATGTTAGTTGGCCCTTTATACCTGATGCAGATGTCTCCGCCACCAGAAAATGGATGGCCCTAAAGACGTTCACCGCCCCACCCTGCGCTGTAGGGCTTAGTTAAAAATTCGTCATGCTGCATGTTGATAGCCCAGCTGGGCGCATTATAGGCACCGTGGGTATAAGCGAGTTGGTACCCGTGCCAACTCTAGGGTATCTTACTCACCTAGAGGAGTGGGGTAAGGGATTGGGACAGAAGCGACCTCTGCAATGATCAATGCATGGTGGAGCTTGTCGAAGAGAGGGGAAAATAGGAAATGAGACAAGCTATATGTGGTATGCAACGAGAAAAACATGGAGAGCTTTAAGGCGTTGAAATGCGGGTTTCAGGTTGTCAGGGAGCAGACGATGGAGGATAGTGCAGTTTTGAAGAATTTCGAATTGGAAAGACCAGATTGGAGTTTGAGACACTGTATTTCTGCTTTACTTCCTCTGTTTCCTCTTGTCTGGTAATTATTTCTCTGTTTCTGCTTTGAACAGATATGTGGCATGTCCCTCTGGAAAGCCAGTCAGGATTGCTTTTGCAAAATGAGTCAAATTTGTGGCGGGGGAGGTACTGTGCAAGGGTTTCGTCATTTACATTCGTCCAGTCTCCCAGGGAGAGGTGATATAGCGAAACCTGAAGAATACATGGTCATGTGGGCATCCATTTTATCCACACGTGTAAACAAGGTGTTGTTGCCTGGCTTTCATATCAAGATATCTGTAATTGCGTCGTATCATAGTTGGTGCCTAGGTGGGAATGAACCGAAGCTGTATCGATATCTGATTAGCTTTGATCAATAAGAATGCGTGATTGTTCCCTTTTTAACCAGATCTATGGATTTATTTCCCGGAAAAGCATCCATGGATGGTAGCAGAAGGGCGTGTAGGCAAAACCCCCCCGGTGGTGCTCGGTTTGCGGATTGAGCAGAGGAGCAGCAAGACAGTGATAGCGATACCCCAACACTACCAAGGCACCAGCCTTCTGGCACCCAGCAGCCAAGTTGGTGCCCCTCCAAGAATTTCAAACAGAGGGTAAAAATGTTCATTCAGATTGAGTTTCACCGTCAAGCGAAAGCCCCCAAGTTCCGGACTTTTATAAGGATCAAGACTGGCGTATCAAGGGCGACTGTATTCCAGAGTGATGCACACGCGAATTCCACATCTCCACAAGCCAGATTTGTCCCCAGAATAATACTGTGTACATCCCAGATCGAACGTCCAAGATATCTCCGAGACGCACGAGATATCCGACAAGGTATCGACGTTGTTGCGGCTGATCTCCCTTTTCGGCAATGACGTGCTGACTGATGGATGACATGGTTTGCACGTGATTTCCCGTGATTACATACAATGAAAACAGTGGATACTCCGGGAGCCCCACTTGTGCAGCGCCTAGTTGCCTCGATTTAGACTAGCGCTGACTTGACTCAGCCAGAGCCGCCAGAATCATGTGATCCTATGATTATGCGATACGAGTCAAGTAACTAAAGCAACTCGAAAGGGGGGGCCCATAACTACTACCAACAACATTTGTATTTATATATCAATCAACTCTAGGGACTTCTCGCCATTTCGCTAGTGGCCAATATCCTATCCTCGCTGTTGTTGAGCTGTGTGCTGTGCTAAAACGTATCTTACTTACACAGCGTATCTCGCTTCTCGCTCGCTCGCTGCTGACACAGTGACTGGTAGTCATAGCGTCAGCGTAGATCCCTCCGCGACTCTCATACTCCACTTGTCTTCCTGTTCCCCTTTTGTTCTCTCCCAAATCTCTCTGCAGGCTTGGTCATGGTTAGGTCGCCATAGAATTTCCAACTTCCTTATATCTCTAAATCAAAGGGCGCGTTTGCGCGCCCCAAAGCATACCAAAATTATCGGCTATCTGGCATCATGGCGGGAATGGAAGAGTTGGAGATTCATAGTAAAGTACACGCTACCTTCCCGAGACAAGCCATACCCCTGATACCCCTCCTCTATCTCCCTTTTGATTTCTGAATCGCAACATGTGGCTAATGGATAGCACTGTAACACAGTCTTATCTTGTACGCTGGATCAACGTCAGATCCGAACATACCATATCCTGGAGCATTCAACCCCATAAGAAGTCCCTCAATTTTGGGATCTTCAAACATCCCGGCCCATCCGGAAATGTCGCGGGCAGCCACAACAGCTCGGAGTCTACTACCAATGAGTTTAGTGAATCGAATAAGGAGAACAACAAAAATGTCAATTCCTCGTCTGTGGTCACGGAGAAACTTCGAAGTTTAGGTCTGAAGCCCATCCAGTGGATTGGCAAATGCGAAGCGGATAAAATCTCTCAGGGAACCTATGACGTTAACCAGAACGAAGGAGGGAATTATGCTCTTGTATTCGACAATACCTTCTCGAAACAAATCTCGAAAACTGCAACTTTTGTCCTTCTGACCTATCCCTCCCATGCTCCTCCGCATTCGGGTCACCAGGTTCACCATTCACAAGCTACAGGGACAGTCGTTGGAAATCTCCAGGCGCGCCCGAGCCCCGCATTACACCCGACGGCGTTAGACTCGACAGAGTCATTGCGACCTGGCCGTGCCCGGGCCAATAGCAAAATTCCTCCTCCTAGCGCGGACTCTTCCAAAAGCTTCCCATTAACTGTACACGCTGGGATTCTCCAGAAGAGAAGGAGAAAGCGTCACCAGGGATACGCACGTCGTTTTTTCTCCCTCAATTTTACATCGTCAACTTTATCCTACTATCACGATCGTAATTCGTCGGCCCTCCGCGGCGCCATACCTTTGAACCTAGCGGTTATTGCGACCAATCAAAAGACTAGAGAAATATCTATTGATTCTGGAGTGGAGATCTGGCATCTCCGAGCCTCCAATGACTCTGACTTTTTAGCATGGAAGCGCGCTTTGGAAAAAGCTTCTCAAAACCAAGAAAGCAGCCTGTCGGAATCCCACCCGAAAACACGCCCCCAACTGGGAAAGCCTTCTAGCACTGTTGTGAATGATGTCCGAGAATGGGAGGAGGTGGAAGCCCTAGTTGAGAAAGTATCTAACACAAGAGATATGGTGCGTCGTTTGGCAAAAGATACAGACCCTAAGTATTTAGGAACCCCTATTGAGCGTCGGGAACGCTCACAGAGCCCATCTACTGCTAAAAAGTCTACTCCCTCCCAAACGGGAAGTAGTGTGGATGAAGCGGTGGAGAATAGAGAGAAGAGGTCTTTCTGGAAACTGAAACCTCGGGATATCAGCCACACCCCCAATCCAGCTGGGAAACGTAATATTTCTCCACAAACCACAATTCCACCGTCGAATGCGAATGTTCCTCCCAACGCGAAACCTCATGGCGAGGTGAGCAAGACTCCCGAACAGAGTGTACATGACGATTTGATGATAATACTCCAAGAACTTAATTATGTTGTGTCAGAATTTTCGACTCTTATGCTGGATAAAAAACAGAAGGCCGCAACCAAAAGTTGCCACATCAAAACCCGCCCAAGTTTTGAGTCCGAGGCATCACAGGAATTCTTCGATGCTACGGACGGAAATATCTCCCCGCTACTTACCATTCAACGAGACAGCGACGATGAGTATGAGAGGAGTGAATCTCCTGTGACGGCTGATGGAGATGATGAGTCCCTCTCTGGTAGCGAGATGGACGAAGGTGACACTTTCACGAGTAACGGGTTCAGACTGGATAACTCCTCATCTCTGTTCCCAGCCAAGCCTAGATCACTTGCGCCATTGCCCCTTGATATTAAAGTCGTACGGAGAACCCAAATACCACCACCAGCTATGCCGCCACCAAGTTTGATAAGCTTTCTTCGCAGGAACGTTGGCAAGGACCTGTCAACCATTTCCATGCCGGTTTCTGCCAATGAACCCATGTCCCTTCTTCAGCGCGCAGCCGAGCAATTCGAATATTCCCAACTTCTCGACAATGCCGCAAGCGCCACTGATGGCCTGGAGCGTCTAATCTATGTGACAGCATTTGCCCTCTCACCGCTCTCCAACGCGAGAGTCAAGGAACGCGCCATCCGCAAGCCTTTCAATCCCATGCTGGGCGAAACCTTTGAACTTATCCGCGAAGACCGCGGTTTCCGTTTCATCGCCGAAAAGGTCTCTCACCGGCCCGTTCAACTCGCCTACCAAGCAGATTCCAAAGATTGGAGCTTCATCCAATCGCCCAAACCCACACAAAAATTCTGGGGCAAGTCGGCTGAGATAATTACGGATGGCAAAGCCCGCCTGACTCTGCACTCTAACGGCGAACATTTCAGCTGGTCCCCCGCAACATGTTTCCTTCGTAACATCATCGCAGGCGAAAAATATGTCGAGCCCGTCGGCCAGATGTGCGTTCTCAACGAAACTACAGGCCAAAAGACAATCGCAACCTTCAAAACTGGCGGCGTGTTCTCAGGCCGCAGCGAAGAAGTTTCCGTTAAAGCCTTTGACACGCATGGCGGGGAGCTACCCCTAGGCCTCCAGGGGTCCTGGACCTCCTCCCTTCAACTGACGGAACATGGTGTGGAGACAAACAAGACCATCTGGGCTGCTGGCCCGCTCGTCGCTAAACCTACGAAGAATTATGGATACACATCCTTCGCTGCTTCGCTGAATGAAATCACTGATATCGAGAAAGGGAAAATCCCTGTTACGGACAGCCGGCTACGGCCGGACCAGCTAGCACTGGAGGAGGGGGATGTAGACCACGCAGAACACCTCAAGACGGAGTTGGAGGAGAGACAGCGGGAAAGGAGGAGGGAGATGGAGGAGAGAGGGGAACATTGGAGGCCTAGGTGGTTTGTGGAGGTTGTCGGGGAGGGTGATGGGGCTGCTGAAGACGAGACTGTTTGGAAGATGAAAACAGGAAAGGATGGGTATTGGGAGGAGAGGGCAAGGGGAGAGTGGACGGGAATTGTGCCAGTGTTTAAGTTATAGAACTTTATATTATCTGTCGGAATAGATAGGGGTTTGTTTGGGCGGTTCAAGAAGCGCGCTAGTTGTCCATGACTCTGTAGAATTTCTAGTTGTTGATACACCCTATGTACTAGTTTTTTTCCTGAGAGACTAGTTATTTAAACTCCTGTTGTTTTACTTTTTTATTTTTGAAGTAGATAGATAGTATAAATACTGTGTACGAGGGAGCAATACAAAATTAACGCTTAAAGGATAGATAGGCTTGGATCTCCGTTTTGGATCAGATTAGTAGATCTCATTTATTATCAAGTCGTATCCTATGATTACCTCCCTAACGCCGCATTAACAACTCTCTTCGCCTTCTCACCGCCCAGATAATCTCTGCCCTCCCTCCCCTCTCCATCTTCCTCTTCATCCCCTACTTCCAATTCAATTTCCAAACTCGCACGATACGCCTTCATAACCGTGTCTTCATCAACCTTAACTCCACCCTCCACAAGCACCCGAATGCACCCGCATAGCCGTGCAATCTCCCTCCTCGTGGCCAATCCAATTTCATCATTCTGACTCGAGTATATGGCACTACTGACCATCTCCTCCAAGCGCGTAATTGACACATCTCCACCAGCGGCACCACCCACAGCCCCATCACCAACATGTTTCGAAATCCAAATATACCCATTAACCCCCAGTACAACATCAATTTCCCCAGCACCGTGCGACGCCGGGAACGTCCACACCTGTCTCCGGGACCTAACGACCCCACTCCCCCTAACCACACCACCCGCCGCACTCATACCACCGACGGCCAAAAACACCCCATTGCGCAACTTGCCATATTTCAACGAGCGGGTATGTAACGACGCAGCCCCATCCTGATGGACCGCCTGCACCTCCGCGACCAGCAAATCGCCCTCGTTGAAAAACGAGCGGATCTGCAGCTCATCAGCCGTCGTGCGCTTGCGCAGGATACCGCCGGGAAGGTTTATGGCGGATAGCGGTAGTTGGGCGAGTAAGGGTGCTGCGACGTCAACTTTCCACCGCCGCGATTGCACTTCGACGATGCGGCCGATGACTAGGTCGCCGATTTCGGGCGTGTAGCGGGCTCGCAGTGGTTGGACGGAGAGGAGTTTGTTGGTTTTTTGAACGGTGCCGGCGACGGTGGCTATGATTGTGTTTGATGTGCTAGAGGAGGTTGAGGGGGTGGTGATGTGGAAGGGGTTGTGTGCCGGACGGGTGAAGGTGCCGTGGCCTCTGGATTTGGGTAGGGGCGCTGTTAGTTGAAGGCTGATAGTATCATATAAGGGTTGGATGTACGTAGGAATGTTGATATGAGGTAGAATGATAGAAGAAAGGTGTGTATAGCATGTACCTCATCCATTGAGGATCATCTGTCACAACTTCTCCCGGTGTGACTATTCCGCCCTTAGAGAGACGGAGACGTTTTGCAGGTCGCGCATTGCCACCAGACATGTCAACATCGCCTTCGGAGTCTCTTGATTCATCTTCTGAAGAGCTGTATTCCTCCTCTGGCATGGAGGGCGGCAGAATGGTAATTGCCATTCTCACGTAGCTGCTCGTCGATCAATTTTTTTGCCTGGTGGGGCGAGAAATCTTTCTTTTGTTCTCCGATAAGGAGTTTTCAGCATCAATGGGTTATAATAATATGTGATTTTCATGTAGGAGTCACAGCAGTTGTGAGATATCTCTAGATGATCAATCAAATAGTTGCGGAGGTTGTTTTTTGGGGAAGCTGGAGGAGCGAATCACGTGATCTCGAATATTTAGAAGGAGAAATCATTCCTGGGGCGCTCTAATACCATGAAGTGTTAACCAAAAAGTGTTTTTTCGTCTAACGAACGTTAAATAAAAGGAAGATATGATTTAAGAAGCCGATAGCGGAAGAAATAAAAAAAGGTGACATCGCTGTCTGAAGTATCCTGGAGATAGTTGATATAAATAAGTCCCGGAAATACAATATCAAGGTCTTTCTCTATGAGAAAAGACAAGGGCGGGTGTAAAGGGGAAAATGGAGGAGGGCAGGGAACAAATTAGGAAATATACCAGTATGAAAATATGCGAAGTTAAACAGGGATACCGCACGTAGATTACTTATTTCATTTCCACCGTGATAATATAAAATAGTATAGATAAGAATAGTGATATCAAGCAAAGTAAAAGAAAAGAAGAGAAGAGAAAGAAATGTGGGAGGGAGAATAAAAATAAGCGTTCGAGAAACGTAAGAGAGCATGAAAGAAAGGTCAAAAAAAAACCAAACAGACATCTTTTTTTGCTTGCTTTTTTTTGCATTGCGTATGTTTTGGAAGTTCGAAGAATGACTTTGACCCTTGATAAAACGAGAAAGAAAGGTGAAGGAAGAATAGAAGAGAGAAGAAAAGAAACGAAAAGAAAGCGTATACAAGCCTATGGGGAGAAAACTAGCGATGAGACGCAAACAGCGAAGCAGACAAATAGTAGCACAGCAAACGACGAAAACGGAATCAATGAACATGATTTAAGCCCAAATTTGTTAAAGGGGGGAAGGCGACAGGGGGCAATAGCACTAAGGGGTAAAGAAGATTGAAGAAGTGAGAAATCAAGATAAAGGGGCCTTTTTTTTGGATGCGGGGATATCAAGCACGCTGTGGGTGGGAGAATAGATAAGTCAAGAAGTTTTGAATATATGATAAAGGATGAGCGTGGAGAGATGGGGAGCTCTCAGCGGTTGTGAATGGGTATGGTAAAGAGAGGATACGGCTAGAATTTGCCAGGTTAAGGAGCACGCGGCTAAGAATAGTCAAGCATGGAAAGAAGAAATGATAGAATATAAATCAACAAGAGGTAAATCAAGAAGGTCGCCTTTTTTAACTCTTTTTTTTTTTTTTTTTCTCTCTCTCTCCTTTTCGAGGGATTTTGGAGAACGCTTACCAGAGAGACGAGGTGAAAACGGAGAGCGAAAGGCAGGGACACTTGCGAGAAAGAGTAACGGAGGAAGAGAAGAAGAGACAAACGAAGAAACAATATTCAGCAAATGGAAAGGAAACATGAGACGAAGAATGCATGTCCGAAAACTAACTAAGGAAAGCAAAATGGGCTTGCGCAACTAAAACAATAAAACAATGCTATACCGTAAAAGGAGGCTGAATATATAATTCCTAGAAACCATGGCGTTCGAGGGGGCGGTAAAAAAGTAAGAATGATGAAATAAAAAGAATGGTTGCCCGAATTTGAAAAAAGAAAGATAGAAAGAAAAAGAAAAAATAATAATAAAAAGAAAGACACAAGCCGCTAAAAATGCACGGGGAACATAATCTAAACAGCAGACGGGAATGAGGAGTTCGTTTTGGAAATTAAACAGCGAAGCGAAAGCAACGGAGCATCAAGAACAAAATAAGAACTGACAAGCAGCGCCAAAAATGTATGAAAAGATAGCTGAAGATAAATGGGTTCCGGAAAAATCGACAGATGGTAAATAAAAGCTGGGGTAAAAAAGTAAAAAAAAGTTCAAGAAGAGGGAGAAGGAATAGGAAAAAAAAGAAAAAGAAACAAAAAAAGAAGAAAGAAAAGGAAGTAAAGAAGTAAAAAAGGACATGCCGTATAAGTATAAGACTCCGCAAAATTGGACGAAAGGGTTTTCATGCATAATATACTGTCCCATTTTGAGGTTGAGGGTAGTAATAAGTCGTTCCCGGTGGTGTCATCATGCCTCCCATACCAACTACACCTCCCTGCGGCGCTCTTTGAGGCGGTGCAGAGTACACTTCGTTCTGCTGCTGCGGGTATGTGAGGCCTGCCACTTGTGACGTATCGTAGTAATATACGGTGCCGTTTGACTCATGCGCAACGGTGCCGGACTGCGTTTGCGCTAGGTCACTAGTAGGTGGTTGGTGCGGAGGCATGGAGTAAGGCATTTGTTGGGGCCCATAAGCTGGAGGATGGCCGGGCTGAGCGGGAGCGTTGTAGGTTGGATACTCTGGGTTTGTTGCGGGATAGAATACAGGGGCAGGTTGATAGCCAGCCTCGGTATAATATGGTTGGGGTTGTTGGTAAGGATATGGCTGGAACGGTTGAGCGTGGATGGCACGCTCTGGGATCTGAGACAGAGGTGTTGCAGACGCCTGAGAGACATGTGAGGGTTGCCGCGCATGGGGAGCATACATGGCGGAATCAGGCATGAACGCTCCATTAACCGGCTGTGGAACCTGGTGATGGAAAGGTTGCTCCTGTTGCTGTTGAGATGGGTTGAATGGGTATGAAACAGGAGATTCGATATCAGCAACTGAGACTGTCTTCTGTGGTCGCGGCTGATGCATTGGGATGTTATGTGTCGGCCGGTTTTCACGGAATTCAGGGGGTGGCGGCATCGAGTATGGTGGAGGGTGAGCGGCATTCATATGGGGGGCAACGCCATGGGGTGGAACAAAACCTGGCCCAACAGGAGGTCTAATTGAAGGTGGTAGCCGTACTACCGGTTTCCCACCTTCACCAGGCATAACACCAAGGCGAGAAATGACAGAGCCGGCAGGAGAGTTGATGACATCAGTTCCCCTGCCGACAGATGATCTGCGACTCATGGCCACGCTTGGCGTATATATACTCCCTCCGTAAATACTCGTTCTCCTACCACCACCCCCGTAGAAGCCTCCACGACCTCGTTGTCGGTATTGTTGATTTGGTCTTAATGCTCGTGGGATAAAAATAAAGGACCGCTCCGGGTCGGGGAATATGTATCGGGGCGGCTGTCCTGGTAAAGATATTCTAACAGGTTTATCACGACGAAGAGGCGGTCGATGCTTGGGGAGGCAGGTGTGTTGTCTTTTAGGTACGGCGGAGTATGGGATAGGGGCTTTCATGCCCGGGAGAAACACTATGACAGGAACATTGCCCACCAGGATAATGCTAGAGAAGGAGCGGTTTTGAGGAGATGATCGAGGAGCTGTGGAGACAGGTCTTGGGGGATGTGGGAAAGGAATTTTATTGGGAACGGCTGCGGAAGTGGATGGTACCGAGCGAGTGTCTTGGACAACGGTTTCGTGTAGATCATGCGCCCACTGCTCAGCAGTTACGTCCGGTTTTGCAGCAGGGCGTCTAATTGGGCAGGGTGGAAATCAGCATCTAGTCCCCGCAGAAAAAAACAAAGAAAGAAATGGTAAATGATAGACAAGTTAGGAATGAATACTAACCTTGCAGCATTGCTATCAACAATGAGACCATGGGGGCGAGTCTTCGGTTTGTTATTCGTATTGTTATTGTATGGTGGCCGATAGCCATTTGGCGGGGAATCAGTATTCCGCTTGTCATGAAGGAAGAACCCACCCCGAGTAGGCACGAAAGCTGGATTCGACTCCCGTTCCTTGATGTATTCCTCATGCTCACGCCGCCTCCTCTCTGCAAGCGTCCCCCCCCTCGATCCCTTGTTGTTCGCGGATTTTGGGGTGGCGACAGAATTATCTAGCTCTTCCTTCGTGTCATCAAAGTGGATTTCCTCGATGCCTTCCGGTCCCTCAGACAACTTCAGCCCGTTCAGCATAATCTCGGTATCCGATACTGTTGCCCCAAAGAGTCGTCCGACGGCAGTTGTCGATTTGCCTCTCAGTTGAGCCTCATCGCCTTCAGAGCGACCTGTAACTCGCGCCCGGCCATTTGTTGCTGGTATTTCCTTTGGCCTAGCTGTTGCATCCTTTTCACTCAGATCGCTCTCTTCTTCATCGGCATCGACATCCTCGTGTGCTGAAATAGTTCCTTCGCTCAGAGAATCATCCTCCAAATCCTCGTTTAGTGAGCCGTCTTCATCCCCATCATCCCCCCTTCTCCTCCGGCTAGGAATCCGGCTTCTTCGATGAGGAGCCATCTGGAGATACAATAAAATGTCGCCTAAACGGAGCCTTGTACTTCCCCCGCAGAAAAGATATCTCAGATGCTAACTATGTTGGAGAGAGATATGGATGGACTTGTGGGGCGAGAAGGCGTCGAGATAAACAAATAGGTGAAGGCGAGAGGAGTCGACTGTCTGCTGATGGACCGACCTGTGCACGAGCAGAGACAACCAGCAAGACCAGAGCAGAATGGGAGATACAGGACCCAAGTAGCCTAGCAGTAGTTGTTGTAGTATCCTTCTTATCCTTCTTCGTCGTCTTCTCGTCTTCTCGTTCTTCTCTCACGGTCTCGGCGTCATCTTTTTAAGGCTCTCCTCCGTTCTTGGTCAAGTTCACGCAAAACATTCCAGGCTTGGCGAGGGTTGCGACTAGGTTCAATCCGGACTAGCGTTGATGCTCCTTGCCCACGTCTTCCTTACCCAAGCGCGCGTGTTCTCTATGTCCTTGGGGCCTCTTCTATGCGCCTGTGCAGGATGTCTGGGACCCTGGTTCGCATTGAAGCCCTGCATGAGGTATACACCCCCCCAGGCGGGAGGCAAGAAAAATTAAGTCGCTGTGGCGTATGATTGCCTAGGTAGTTGTAGAGCGTGGAAATGCATCAGCCGCATGTTTTGCTAAACGTACTATAAAATGGTGGAAAAATATTTGACGATTATTTTAGAAGGTAAACAACACGAGAATCTAAACCAGGAGGATATCTAGAGAAAACACAAATATAGCAACAAAAAAGTTTCGTAACCTATGGCGACACAATGCTAAGGTGTAGAGGATATGTATTCAAAACAGAGCAAAACAGCAAACTCAATCAAACGTCGTCTTCTTGCCCTGAGATTCGACAATAGCTCCGCTAAGCCTCCGGACAACGTCTTGCGTATATCGGCCCCCTCTTGCTAGTCCGCCTTTCTTGAAATTCCCCTGACCCTTTCCGGCTCTCGATTTTTGGAATGACTTGGTATTCTTCTCAGACACTTCCTCAATTGCAGGAGGTTCGATACCATTGTGCCTGACTTGCTCCTCACCTCCGGATTCTGTGGCGAACTTATCCTTCGACGTTCCATCTTTTCCAAACCGCTTTTTATACCGGGTTGCCTTGTCTTCCGCAAACTCCATCCGTAGCGGGCGGCCCATAATTCGATTAACCCATACCCTCTTCGTCGTAGGTTTCTTGTTTTTGGCCTTCGCTTTACTTTGGGATTCCTCGCCACGGGATCCCCCAACTTCATTTGAGCTGTCCGTGTTTTTCTCATCATCGTCATCGTCATGATCATCATCATCTTCTTCTTCTTCCGGAACATGCACGAACCCCCTCATCGCAGCTTCTGCCGCGTCAATACTCTCAAACTCAACCCACGCGTAGCCCTTGCACTTGCCAGTATCCTGAAACGTCGCAACTTGTATGCTCTCAATAACCCCGCATGGTTTGAAGTGTTCTTCCAAAATCTCCTTGGTCACATCAAATCCAAGATTGCCAACAAACACCCGCTTGGAGGGAGCATGCACGGTGGAGTTGGAAGTCTTATTTCCAGCAGCCTCGTCCTTTGGCTTGTCGGGCCTTCCCACAAAGTTGTTCGCATTCTTAACCAACGCCCGACGACCACTAATCAGCTGTTCACTCATCGCAATTGCAGCCTCCATTGCCTTCTGGGTGGTGAAATCCACGTAGGCGAACCCCTTGTTTTGAGGTTTGCCATTTTGTTTTATGCCCTCGGGCAAATGTATCCGCGTGATCTCCTCATTTTTCAAGGAGCCTGAACTGGTAAAGAATACCCTGACGTCGTCCTTCTTCACATTGAAGGGTAGATTGCCTATCCAAACTCCGTAGCCAGACCGCTTCGACGGCTTTTCGGCAGGTTCCGGGGATTTGGGTTTTGTAGCTGGGGGTGTGGTTGATTGTTCAGTGGTTTGCGCTGCTGCTCCCTTCTTTTTCGCCTTTCTAAGTGCCTTCTTCGACGGAGGCTCTGGTGCAGATAAATCAATTTCAAGAGCCGGACCTTCGTCTAGCTTCCGTTTACGAGACGCTGGGGGAGAACCCGAGGGAGAGGCCTCCTTGATACCGGGCATTTTTCCGGAGATGGATTATAGACAATTTATAAAAAGACTAATATTGTATTGGTTTAATCACTTAGAAATCCCCAATACATGAATAGTAGAATCTGTAGAAATGTCCGAGATAATCATGCGATGGACACAGTAGAGTTTCTTCCTCCGCACAGAGTGGGGATTTTTTTCGTGGCAGAGAAAATTTTACGGCGTTCCGCAGTGACCTAAAGGGAAACCAACCTCGATCATCGGCTCCCAAGTCTCAACTTCTCATCCATTCCGCATTGTGCCCTGCCCTGTCATTTTCATATACGCTCAACCATACTCTCAATCGCGTGAACTAGAAACATTCTCATTGCGCAAACGACTCCAACCTTTGCCATGGCATCC